AATTCTAGACCTTCCTATGGGCAGAGGTTGCAACCCATGCATTGAATTTACTAACTTTATTAGACTAGTAAACCAAAATACATAAAAATTTATCCGTACCTGTGGGCATAAGATAATTTTAACTTAAAGGTTTACTATCTCATTCCAATTAATCTCATCAAAATGGTTACCTCCCTGTAGGGTCGGGTTATCATTTTAATAAGATAACTGGACTAAATATATGTCGTTATAACCTTTAATCACTAAACGTTATGTGATTAATAAACTCAATTTCTTTTATATTAAGTACTCAAGATGATGTGGTCACTCCTAAATACATCACATAAAAGAAAACTCTAAAATGACATCTTAGTAATTAACCTTAATAATCAACTTAAACAAAATATTGATTAGATTCTAACAATGAGCAAACTTAGTATAAGCAGATGCCTATATAGACCCATTAGGAGAACAATTCTATAATCAACTTTAGCAAATATTGATACGACTTGCTGTATTATCCCAAATAATAAAAGTAATCTTATAATCTATCCGAATAGTATAAGAACTCACAGAATCATATCAATGATAAAATATTTATTCCAAAAGAAAAGAAAATAGAACTAGTTTTATAACGATCTGGATTAAAATTACCTTTAAGAACTGAACAACACAAAGTCATTAATCATTCGTTGGAATTCGTTTTAACTATTGGACATCGATTTTAAATAATAGTTTAAACAAAGACTTGTGGGTAAATAAATTAGAACATATCTCACGTACTGGGATTGCAGCTTCAGATCTATCTGATCAAACAATATGAATAAAAAGGGCACATTGTGCATAGATTCAATAATCATGTACATCCATATCTCAAGATAAAATATTTTATTTTATTCCTTATCTGGCCAAAATTAAAATTACCACGAAGAATATATACCCAAATATCTATTTAAAGAGACAAGGGTTTTACGTAGATGAGATTAGTACCGGTTGAAAAATAAACTTTTGAAGTAACACTATGCGGCGACGATCGTAAAAGATAACACACACAATGTTCTTAACAAAATACTACCAACGACTCAGAAATATTATATTAATACTCTATTGCACTATAAAGGTGCGAGCAACACATCTCATTATATATTACTAATCTCTGTATCGATACATGAGTAAAATATGATGTCAACAATTATTTCGGGACACCAAACAACGCAGCTAAAGGCAAGCTCTGATACCATATGTTGAAATTCGAATACACATACAGAGCTATCGCAGCGGAAATTAATCAAGGAACGTGCCTTCAATCATGATTGTTCAAGTGATGTAGGGAATTCCTTGGAAGAACCTTGAGTGAAAACCTAAGGAGTCTTCTAGCCTGTGCCTATTGTAGGATGTCACACTGATGGAATCACATGCGTATTTATAGGTAGGCTAGGGACTCTTAGGCAAATATTTTAGCCCTAGAGACTTCTCCATAAATTATAATTACCCTAGGGACTCCTAATATATGGTAATTTCTTTCCATCAAAGAAACTACCATATATGCATAACTACAGAATATTATCTGATATATTATTTCTTTTGGGAGACAAGATAAATAATTTATTACCTTATATGTGGGACAACACTAGAACGACAATTTCTAACAGAGGACCGTATATTTCTTTCCCATTCCGGCAGGAAAATTCCAATTAGTGTCTGTAGTTTGTGAAGCTGCTAACAAGAAAATGTTTAGAATGGTCCTGCCGCAATTTCAACATGCAGCTAGGTCACAAGTCAATTCTTGGTGGCACTAATTCTATACATATGAGCTGAAATCAACTAAGAGATCCAGAATAATTTATTTGTGGATTTAACTTAATGGATTAAGCTACATCTACTTACCGTTCAAAGTATTTTTAATATTAGCAATGTATAATCCAAACAACAACAAATAAGCATAGTGGATAATTCATCCCATGTCACGTTAATGTTAATGCACGTATGACAAACAACAACAATTCAATTACATCCATCGCCATAGACATTAATTTGTGTTCCAACTCTAAAAGGTGAAAACAAATAAAGTCTTCATTTACATTTTCTCAGCAAAAGATAGAGAATTTTTACTTGGTCAATCTCCAAAGCTAGCTGCGTGCATGCTTCTATACAATTGTCAAAAGAAAAATGTAATCTTCTCCGTTGTACATGTTCCCAGTGTTACTACTTTCTCCTTTGGCTAACTCTGCAGCTACTTTGTGATCCAAGGCTACAAGCAGAAGGAAAAGTCTGCGGCGGACTCATCCCCACTTCGGCCTGATTTTGTAGTTGCTGTTGTGCTTGCGGTGACACTCTCCATATCTTCACCGATTTGTCAAGGCTGCCACTATACACAATAAACTGTCGATCACCACCTGTTTGTTCTTTTTCCTCTTCGACGGCCAAACATTTTACTGGACCAGAGTGGCCGCTCAAAACTGATAAACATATATGTTCACCTCCATCCCTTCTCCACACACAAATATTATTATCAGCTGATCCACTGAAAACTAAATTCCCTGCCGTTGCTAAACAGAGTGTTGCAAGTTTATGACCCCTCAAAACTCCTCCATGAGTTAAAAGCTTGTCACGTTGCCAAAAATTGACTAGTCCATCAGAGGAACCACAATAGAGGAAATTCGATGAAGGGTCCACGGCTAAGCTTGTTACGGCGCATTCTTGCTTCAATAACGTTTGTGAAAAGAAGTGTTTTGTTCCTTTCCCTTGTGATTCTTTTCTCCATATTTTTACTGTCCCGTCAGCAGATCCTGAAAAGAGTTGCCCATTAAAGCCAACAACTATTGAATTTACGGCATCGTCGTGGGCATTTATCGATTCCAAACATTTCGAATCTGATGCTCGCCAAACTTTTATGGTTTTATCCCAAGATGCTGAATACAAAAGCTTTTGGTCCTCGCTCATGCAAAGGCAAGAAATCGCATCAAAATGCTTTATCCACACGGCATTTCGATTTCGCCTCGTTTCCATATAATTGCTTGGTTTCATTGAACTTTTTATATAAGCCGTTAAAGTTGGTAAAGTTCCTATTCGTTTGTATACGCTTGGATCCTTTCCAGAAACCTTCCAAACTCGTATCTTCCCATCTTGATGACCTGTAAAAATTCTTTCTCCAGCAATAATAATTGCCTTTACCAATCCACTATTTGATTTAAATCCCGAAAATTCTTTGTGATTTTTCCACACCCTTATATTCTTACTATCAGATCCTGTGTATAACAAATCCCCTGAAGCGGCCAAAGAATATATATGGCCTTCTTCACGAACAAGGGAACCCATAAGACCTGTATAGGAATAATTAGCACTAGGCTCGACGTGAGATGTCCATGGAGATTTTGATAATGGAGATGTTGTTTGGTCCCAAGAAGGATCTAAATATGGAGATGATGATGGATCCCATGTAGGAGATGTGTTGTGAGGAGAGTTGTAATCGGAGCTTAGTCGAGGGGGAGGGCGATCGTAATTTGCATGGCTAGTTTCTGAAATGTTGCTTATTCGAAAAGAATATTCATCTTCATTTGGATCAGATTGCATTACGCTCCCAAATGCCTGTTTGTGGTGGCTGTTTTCTTCTGTCGCCATTTTGCTTTTTCTTGAATTCCTCATTGTGCTATATTCACATGAAAGTACCGATCGATGAACTAAAAAGGTTGATGATTACAAATCAAATGAGAGTAGAAGAAACCAGGGAATAAAGATTCAGGAAAGTTGGATTCAAAGAAAAGGGAAATTATAGGATTGAGAGGTTGGAATAGAGAAATGTACGTAGGATGCATGTTTTAGAGAAATGGGCATACGTATGTTTGCGAAACATGAATTAATCAATAGGAGATAGAAGGTGCGGCCATGAAGATCTTGGGTACAAGACATGGATTTTTGAGGCACAATTTGTCAAACAATGCTGAAATATCCTAGCCAGTAATAATGCATGGTAGATTATACGTGGTGTTTACGTGCACCAACAAACTTTCTTGATTAGTGGTTGATCACGTCCAACTATGCCTTGTAAAAAGGATTAAGCGGTCGCTGCAAATATAATCCGGTCTAAAAGTCCAGAATCGAATCCCACATATAATTAAGGTTTAGCTGCAATTGTTCAATATCACTACGAAAACAAACTCGACAATTCTTAAGTTATAAAAATTGTGATTCTTGTTTTAAACTAATTAACTATCAACTATTAAACCTAGTAAAAATTATTAACTAAGGAGGATGGAGTTGGAGACAAGATTAAGGAGGCCTAGAATTATGATTTTCTCAATTTTCGAATCTTACCCGCTAAGTTTCCTAATATAATTTCGCCAAGTATTCTTTACTGACTGTGAACACTTTGGGTGTCATAATTCTCTCCCAAGCAACTACAACAATTTACTAGACGTATTCTCCCGAACTACGCTAGCTGTAACTTTCTTACCGCTTGCTATGATCACGTCATGGCTTTGTCATTCCTAATTAAACCCACTTTAAACCCGCCGAATTGATTCCTCATGTACGTTAAGAGTGGCGTTGTTCAATAACCACCTAAATATGTACTCTTTCCAAAGTAATACATAATAAATAGGCATTGTTAGCTGAGGACTCTTCAATTAACTAAAATAAGCACGTAGTTGAACAAAGAAAAATCTAAAGGCTCAATTATACAAAATATATTAAGAATTCATCCTACAAAAGGGTCCATCAAAGAAAAACCTATTTGGGGAATATGTGCTAAACAAGCATCGTGAATGGTGAACAAAAACCTTAAAGCTAAGGATTTCTTGGAGCAAGCACGCATTTCTTTTGATGAGCTAATGGAGATACAACAGTTCTCTATCAGGGAGCTGTATATAAAGCTACGAAAATATAAAGAAACAAACTCACTAAGGAGTCAAGGGGTGTCATTATATATATATATATATATATATAAAATTACCGAGCTATACAGTGTAATTTTTCGGCAAGGGGTATCGGTTGACACTGCTTTGGTGCATGTGGCTCCGCCAATGCCTGGAAAGTTGTATACTAGAGATAAACTGATAAAATGGGGAGTGACGAGTAATATTATATGTCATTTATGTGATGTAGAAGCTGAATCTGTAATCCACTTGTTCTTCAAGTGCTCATTTGCTGCTTCAATATGGAATCAATTGCTTATATGGCTGGGTGTGGATAGACAAGCAACGATGTGGGTGGATGAGCAAGCATGGGCGATCCAGTTCATGAATGGTAAAAATTCCAAGGCAGAGCTCTATAGAATGAGTTTGGTTGGATGTGCATACTATGTCTTGCAAGAAAGGAACCAACGGATATTTAAGGATAGAAGGAGAGAAAATTCTACTCTAGTGAGATAGATTGTTCAAGAAGTACATGTTGGAGGTGCAGGTGTTTGCAACAAATTTGTGCAGAAAAATAAAACTGCAATTACAAACAATTATAAAAAATAAAAAAAGATTTTATTGATAAATATTGTAGGTTACAACTCTTTTTATCCCTTGATTCTTTCCTCCGATTTATTCTACGTGATTCGAGGGCCTTAGCAGCATATTTATCGAACGTAGGACTTTTAGCAAGACGTATTTGACATGTCTTTGATCTCTTAATGAATATTCCAAGAGTTTCATGAAATTTTGGAGATCTCATATTTGATCTCTTTATGCATATTCCGAGAGTTTATGGAATTGCTGAGATCGTCTTTGAAGGACATATGTAGCCTTATTTATAGGCATGAATTAAGGTTTGGGTGGAGTAGCCCCAAGCAACCCTAATAGACTCCTAATATTTCAAGAGTTATCTTGAATTTGGATTTATCTTGATCTATTAAAATTTCAGTGTCTACAAATGCCCCCTACTTCAAGGTTTGTCGAGGTGTATGCTTGTTGAAACTTGAAGACGACACTTGAAGTACCCGACCATCACAACAGATAATCTTGAAACTTGAAGTTTTTGATTTGTAGGAGGAAGAGATGAAGGTCAGAACTGTCCTACTAGGCGTGCCAGTTTGATTGCAACAAATTTATGCAGAGATAAATAAAACTGAAATCACAAACAAATATAAAGAAAAAATAATTTTATTGATAAACATTGTAGGTTACAACTCTGTTTATCCTTTGATTCTTCCCTCCGATTTATTCTACTTGATTCAAGGGCCTTAGCGACATATTTCTCGAACGTAGGACTTTTAGCAAGACGTATTTGATATGTCTTTGATCTCATAATGAATATTCCAAGAGTTTAATGAAATTTCGAAGATCTCATATTTGATCTCTTTGTGCATATCTGAGAGTTTATGGAATTGCTGAGATCGTCTTTGAAGGACATATATAGCCTTATTTATAGGCATGAATTAGGGTTTGGGAGAGTAACCCCAAGTAACCCTAATAGACTCCTAATATTTCAAGAGTTGTCTTGAATTTAGGATTTATCTTGATCTATTAAAATTTCAGTGTCAACAACAGGCAGTAGAAGAATAGCAGACCAATAGAGAAGAATGAATTATTATCCTTAGTTTCTGCTAGTTATGATTGTAGTAGTTATGACTTTTATAGATTTTGTAGTTTTGTAGTAGGGTAGATTTAGAGTGGGCCATTCCTGCCTAGTGCCTACCTTGAGGGTTTTTAGAATTGCTTGTAAATACTTCTTTTTCCCTGGTATGTCAGATCCTAATTACAAAAAAAAGGTCCATCAAAACCTTAAAAAGAGATTTAGCTACTCATAGTCATGCTACCAATTACGTTAATAATTAAAAACATCAATATACAAACTAAGGAAGAACGGAAGAAGAACTCTTGTGGTTCGGTGCTTGCAATCGTTCCAACCGTCTTTTGCCTCCCAACTAATGTATCACTCTTTAAAAGCTAACTTTAATAGGTACTTATAAGGTAGGGAAAAAGTGTCCACATCCAAAATTAAGAAGGAAACATAGGCTGCTACTCTAGGCTCGCTTCGCTTCTTCAAGCTCTGCCCCTTCTTTCAAAAATCTTGGATAGACATCACCAGCACGGGGGCACCATCAGGTGCGTCGAAATAACAATGCAAGGCGCCAAAACTACATGGCCTTACATCGTCAGGGGCGCAAAAACTAGTGCTCTGGACAGTGCCTTACACTGTCTAACGTTGTGAATTTCATGGCCTTGCAATATCTTCTTTTTGTGCTCTATTTATTAGCTTCTAGGTACTATTTCGTGCAATTTTTCTTTACTTCATATCCAGGTGGTCATACACGTAAAATAAACTCAATTAAGCTAAAATATCGCATGAATTAGCATCAAAACAACAATCAAATAAGGTGAATAACGTCAAAAGATATTGAATTATAGTGCGACATTAACACCCCATACTTAAATGTTGTTCGCCCTCGAGTCAACCAACTAACCGCTTCCTCTTCAAGTACCTAACAAGCCACACTTTCAAAGCACATTATACCCATGACGATGATTGATATCAACAATTAAGTTCTAGCATATGCAATCAACACACAATTCCTATTTTTATAACACATGTCAAAATATTCACAACATGATCGTAACAATCATGGCCTCACAAACTACTCAATGTCACAACGCACACAATGCATGAATAGTCAATCTAACAGAGAAGTCTAATAACGTTAACTGTCCATAGTGAAATCATGTGCCCTCATAACAAAAGCAAGAGAGTAAGTAGTCCACACATCCAAATCAAATGATCGAATATAATTTAAAGACTCACACATATGAAGAAATTCATTCACTCTCTCAAATAAGTCACATGTACGCACAAAGGTACCGTAGGCTTGCCCATTATGTAAACCTCTACTAATGTAGGCCCGCTCGGTCCAAAATTAACTAGGATTTTATGAAAGGTTTAATGTGGGCTAAAGGACTGGTATGATATATTTAGGAAATAGTGGTTATCCCTGCTAAGCACTTTAACACATCACGTAGTCAACATTAAGCGCACAATTTCTTCAATCCATTTCAATCATCACAAGAAAGATCACCCAAAAATAGTTTTCTTTGTTCCTTTAAGAACTACTATAACTCACACTCACTAGCAAAAACAAGGCACCATCTCTCTTTTTTCTCATTTTTTTCTACTCCTTTTTTTCTTATTTTTTTACCTTTGCCACTAGTGGAGTTTTCTACATGATACAAGTGCACGTTTCTTCATTCTATTGGTTCCACTCAAAAGGTACTCCAAGCTTTCTCATAACTTATTTCTAGCGCTCTCTTTACTATTCAAGTGCTTTAAGAGGTATAAGGATCAAAACGATTCAATTAAGAACAAAAGGGTATAGGCTTGTTATGTGCGTGCCAAAAGAAAGGCTTATATAGGCTCAAGAAGATAAACTACAAATGGTTTTATTTGTGATAAGAAGCAAACAAGACAAAAGGTTCGAATCACATAATTCCTTCTCCTTTATTTCCTAAGAACTACTCTACTTTAAAAATAAAACTACTACTACTACAGCCCGGTTCAAGTTACATCTCATAGAAAAAAACCGAGGCACAAAGAAAAATCACGGGGGATTTTTTTTGGTAACTATAAGCTTTTCATTAATAACCAAAATATCATGTACAAATCAGCTAGACTTTATAACACAGTCTGCTTCTCTTACAACATCTATCAAGAGTAATTCACTTTAACACTTAAAGCCTTTTCTATCTATGTCTACTCTCTCCTTCTCATCTAGGAAATCTGTACTTTTGGAGTAGTATCCTAGTGGTATCATTGGCTCTAGCATGACATGTATATGCAATTTCTCTAACTATTATTTCACATGTGATCCTTATGGGTAAACAACCTGTTGTTCCTTTCTATCCAGACTGCATAAACAAACTTTATAAACACCAACTTCACTAGTTTTGCCTTTATAGTTTTCCCTTTTGTATTCTGCTCGATCCATTGTTGCATCTGGTTCCATGAGCTCCACCTAAGTGATTCACAGCCACTTTATTAGTTTATTCCACACTTGTCTTCCAACTGCACATTCCGCAAACAGATGGTCCCTGGTTTCAGCTACCTCTTTACACATGACACAAGTAGTGTCAACTTGTATTCCCCAATTTTACAGTCTTGAAGCAGTTAGTAGCATGTCTTGCTGTTGGAGCCATGTTATAAATATTGCTTTAGGTCGTGCTTCATTGCCACAAATGATGTTTTTCCAGGAAACTTTGGGTAGATCCCCTACCATTTTAAGTAAATGCTTCTGATCAGACTTTTGTTCTTCAGGTGATCTGGTTGCACGTGCCACAATTCTTCTCTTGCTTTGAGTATTTTCCTAACCATTAAACTAGCTTGTTGGGGGATAGCCATGCTCTCCAAAGGTTGTGCTTTTATATAGTATTCACGGATCCACTTGATCCACAAAGTGTCTTTCTTAGTCTTCAAGTCCCATCAAATCTTTGTTATGGCTGCTTTGTTCTATAGTTTAAGGTTTGTGAGATTCATTCCCCATGCTGCCTTTGGCATACACATCCTACTCCAAGCTACTAGTGATTCTCTGGTGAGTTCATTTGCTCCTGACCAAATAAAACTTCTGCAATATCCTTCTTTAGCTTTCATCACCTTAGTAGGTATGATAAACATTTGTGCTCAATAGGATTAAATACCAAAGAGCACCGACTTTACCAATTGGACTTTGCATGCATATGATAACTTCTTAGCTGTCCATGATGAAATTCTTGCTCTGATCTTAGTTATTAGAGGCTGCCATTCTACCAATTTCAGTTTTCTAATAGCCAGTGGTATCCCTAGGTACCTGAATGGTGTCACCTTGTCTATATCCAATTGCTTGCTGGACTTCCTGCTTGATTGCTTCTGAGACCCTCCATAATAGATAACACTCTTGGATTGATTAGCATGTAACCCTGAAGCATTTGTAAATATACCAAACCTTTCATGTAAGAGCCCTATAGAGATTTTATCACCTTTAGCAAACATGAGGAGATCATCTGCAAAGCACAGATGTGTGACATTTAGTTTAGAGCATTTTGGGTGATACTTAAACTGCTTCTCTTCCTTTAGGGTGCTGAAACTTCTACTCAAATATTCCATAACAATAACAAATAACCACAAGGGATTATTAATACCTAAGAAAAATAAAAAGACATGTTTTTGTTTTTTATTTTTATTTTTATTTTTTTGTATTTTTGTTTAGACTTTAATCACTCAAGAAAACTGTTTTGGGATCCATTTTCGAGAAAAGTTCAATCTTTTCCTATTTTTTTCAAAAAAAAGATCTTCAATTAAGCTAACATAATTAAAATAGCATAGAAAGTCACCTAGATAATCTCCCCACCTCATATTCAAAAAAATTCATTGCCCCCAATGTACACCATAACTAATAAGAGGGTAAAAGAAACCCCTTGGT